AGATGCACCAAGATGAAAGAAGAATGGAGAAACATCAGATCCAACAAAGGCTATAGCTCGCTGGAAGAATACGATTTCACTTGGGACGTCGAAGCCGCAGTGTACAGGCTGATCGAACCTGCTCCCGTTGGCTATTTGAGCACAACAGCTCTAGAGCTACTTCATTGCTACGGAGGATTCTCATCAAACGTGGCACCCTTTACCGAATCAGATCCAAGAGTTTACGTGCAATGTGTTGGTTCCGTTTTCCTCAGCACCCTGCGATGGCTACTATGCGAACCTTGGGATACGCAGCAGCAAACGCCCAATCGAGGGTGGGTGAAGCGCCAGTAGTCCTACGTCAAGAAACTGACCCATGGTAGCAGCTCCGCCGAATTTGATCAGACAGATAGTCCAGTCCAGAAACGTTTACAGACCGTGTTCGTCCAACCTTGCAAAAAAGGCAACGGATACGACGATCCTATCTGCCTGTCTGACGGCGAAGACAAAGAAGAGTCCCCGGTATCGTCCATGCAGAAGGCGAACAACTATCTCCATCCCGAGGCTGGTCAGGCTGGCAAAAGCGTACCGAGTCAGGCTCAAGCCGGCACCAGTCACTTAGTGCATGCTGCCACGGCAAGTACGCGCGAAACGGAACCGAGTCCACTAAACCAAGGCGGACCGTCCCGTCCTCATCTGAACAAGAGACCGAGTTCCCTTGGTCAAGGAGGTAAAAGAAGTCGAGGCCCGTCAGGAGCAGAAACGGCAGACGAAAGACGCCTGCGACCACGGCGGAAGAGCTTGAAAGCCTACAACGACAGATGCAGTTGCAATGGCAAGTCAGCGTCTCGCTTACGGGTTGCTCTTACTGACATTGTATGACGCAGCTAGGGCGGACTCAAAGTGTGCTACTGAAAGCAGCTGCAGCTTTAGAGCGCTCCAGACCGAGTGCAGTTCTGCTTGCGGGAGCGAATGTAAAAACCAGAGAATCTCGCGCGGAGAGTTCACAGATCCCGAAAGCCTAGTGGTCAGGTCGACTGGTGAGAAGGGCAATGGCCTTTTTACCGTCCAAGATATCACCAGGGACCAGCTGGTCATAGAATATACCGGCGACCGACTCCCCCTCGGCTCGCAGCTGGCTGACAATGAAGACAAGCGGTACCTCTTCCAATGCGGCGATATTTTGATCAACGGCAACAAACAAGGCAACGAGTCGAGGTACCTGAATCATTCATGTCAACCCAACCTTGAATCACAGCTGTGGACGGTCAATGGGGAGAAACGTGTCGTCTTCGTCTCGACAAAAGACATCGAAAAGGGTAGCGAGCTGACGTTCTCCTACAATCGAGCCGGTGAAGAAAAATGTTCTTGTCAAGCAAAAAAGTGCTCGGGTAGTCTCAGAGGGTGGCAAGCTGCAGAGAAAAGGAGGTAGCATTGAATGTCCAACTAGTGTCGCAAAAAATAAGAAGTCTGTCCAGTGTCATGACGACGGTCAGTCCACTTTGCTACTGACCCCACTACAGTGATCTGCTCTGTGACCGTGGACCGACTGAGCAATCTGATGCTTCTTACATCTTAAACACGCAAGCTACTCATAGTCTGGTAAACAGCTAGTGATTTGGGATCCAGAAGCTTGGCCGAGTTGTGGTGGAGTAGATGCGACTGGGTCGTTGACGACCGCGGGATGGTGTGCGAGTATCAAGAATATCGTAGCACCTCGGACTGAAAACTTGAATGAAGATGGGCAAACCTGAGTCGTACGTTCAACAACAACGCTTGATTGACTGGCTTCACGCGAAGAAGAGAACCTGGCGGAGCACGTCCGCCACGTACACCGAAGAACATCGATGTCTGCTGACACATACGGCCTGACTATCCACCGCAAGATGGTCAGGTGCGAGATGGAAGATTCGTCCATCTTCGTTCATTGCTGGGCCGAGCGCCTCAGGATGACCTTATGACTGCTCTTTGGAGTATCGCGAGGGAGAGCATCTGAGTCTGAAGCGCAGGCGGGTAGGCTGGAAGTTGGACAACCTCTCGGTCACCAGATATCCAAGTCTTCCGCTGACAATCTGCTCTCATTGTCGGCACTCAGAGCACGAATGCCAGCTTGCCACCATGCGAGTGTTTGCTCCGCATACTCCTGAACATTTATGTAGAAAAAGACGATAAGCCTGCGATGCTAACAACGCTATATGTTATGTTCTTTTGGAGTTGAACAAGACCTCTCTGCCGACGGTGCAATAGATGCAGTGGGATGAAGCGTGCCAGCCGTGGACAGCGGCCGCGTTATTCGTGCTTTCCAAAGCCATTTGCGTGTACTCGGGCCTCGCAGCCACATGGAAAGACCCCTCTTCGTTTCCCACTTTGCACGTTCTTTCGATAGTTGTCCAGGCGTAATCATACGTCCCACGCCCCTTGATCCACAGCAGCTTGTGGCGTCGACGGGATCGCGATCGACATGGAACTGGCTTCGCTCGACTACTCTGCGCCGGATCAAGAGGGAACAGTCAGGCCATCCGGCGTTGTGTCGCAGATCAGAGGTGTCCCTGGCAGAAGCGCACAGTCCGCCCCACTCAGTCTCATCAGATTGGCGGTCATACATGCTACGTGCATCCGTCTTTGCCTATTCGAGCACGCCACGGGCTAGCGCTGCATTGGCCCAACCGTAAAAGAACAATGCTCTAAGTGCCTACATCGACAGTTTGCTGCCAGCTTCCTGATGTGGAAGTACAGAGATGTCTGGACACATATAGGTAGGATATGAGCCAAGAGCACCCGCGGATACAACCTGTGCGAGAGGCTTGTGCATCCTATTTGTCCACCGTGCGCAAGTTTCGCGCTGCTGTACTGACACGAAATCCACCCGTTGTCCCTGTAACATAACCATAGACTTATTCCGAGACGAGATTCGCTATACTATTGCTTCCAACTTCATTTATGCACACGCACACACAGACCAGAACATCGTAAAAGCAGCTGGAGTGGCGGGCATTCCTGGTTGACATTTCTCTATGCCTAGTCTAGCTTGCTAGCCACAGCTCGTTCTCAAGGGACAAAACAATAGTGGCGGCCGAAGCCACCACAGCACTAGAAAGAAGATGCACTCTAATGTCTCGTTGAGGTACGTCGATGTGGCGATATGAGGTGCAGGGTACAGAACGGCAGCTGACGATATGGCCGAGACGCGCCTGCCCTTGCCTCGGCCTTCGACACCCGCCTTCGAATTCTAATATAGCAACACAAAGTACTCCCAGGAGTTACGAGATCGTCTTTGGGGTAGTTCTGAATGTAGCGGAGCAGCCGTTTCGCTGTGGTCTATGGTTTTGGCGCCGAATGAACATGGATGTGATGCAAGGTTGGTTGATATCTTAGAAGACGCCACAATTGGATGTATCGAATCCCTTTACGGATCTGCCACACTGTCGTCGGGCGTGCCTGTTCTATTCCCAGGGACGCAGCGCCCATCGTGCTGCAGGCGTCCAATGCCTGCTGCTGTTGCACGAGCCATCCCCATTCCCGAGACCACGGCGGGGTCAACCCTACCTCCACGCTGCGTAGTCAGCAGCCAATCACTGACTTGGCTACTGCAACACGCAGTTTGGGACCTTTGTTCCGCGAAGCGACAAGCAGCTAATCTCTGGGCGCGTTAGCCTCGCCAACAGGAGCTGGCGATACGGATGTTGGGGTGATCCATGCGTTGCTGATACTGCGCCACAGTCGGAACCGTAGTCCAGTGCAGATTCGCAGCTCATTCTTTCTGACCGGACGTCAGACTTGGAAGGGGTCAGCCCGGGCAAGGCGCTTCCAGCTCATCTCTTGCACTTTTCATCCCATCTAGGCCTCCGAGTCCGTAAGACAACAGGTCCGCCTCTCTAGATCTGGTGCAACCAACGCAGCCATACATGACCAAGTACAGCTCCACTAGAACACGCCCGAAGAGAACTGACATATCAACGCAGACACAAACTCTTGCTTACCGCCGCCGCCATGGATCAGCCTTCCTTCGCGACACCACCTTACACGGTCATGCACTTTTTCAATCACATCCAGGCTTGGGCTGTGGGTTTCTACTACACAGGAGCCTGGCTGTTCAGTCTATGCACTCTACGAGAAGCACGATTGGTGTCTCAAAAGAGACGGCGAAGCATTCTAATCTCGATGCTCACAATCCTGGGCGCGTACATGATAGAGGTTGTCTACCACTTCACTCGGTCGGCCAGCGAACGGGGCTACGAGCCACCACAACCCGCAGTAATCCGCTGCTTAGGGTCGATACTGGTCTGGAGCTTTCTGGCGTTTATGCTTTGGTCGAGCAAGGCGCTGTGCTGGCATGCGTACTCTGGCGCCTTTGTTCTCCAGTTCGCTCTCGAAACTACGACGTGTCTACTCACAGCCTTGTCCACGCCGGAGAGCAATCGGCACAGCAACACGCCCTTTGTCATTGGCTGTGTCAGGGCTACTGCTTCCCTGATCTTACTTCTCGATGCCTGTCTCATTCTGGTCACCAAGCAGGCAGAGACCGCCAGGGACAAGGAATGCCAACCTCTGCTAGAAAAGGAAGCGGATAGCTCAGGCGCATCCAATAGCAACCCTGGCTACGGCACCGTGACTACCGCAGCCGCGAGCGACGAGAAAGAAGCAGCACCCAAAGACGATGACAAGGAAATCAAAGCTCAACAGGCGAAGCGTCTCGAGGAAGAAGGCGGCTGGTTCGGATATCTCAAAGGCTTTGCTGTCTTCTTACCCTACTTGTTCCCTAGAGACGACTGGAAGGTCATGGCCTGCCTGGGTCTACGACTCGTTCACGTGCTGCAAGAGCGCATCTTCAACTTGCTTACGCCTCGACAGCTTGGTGTGATCACGAACAAGCTACAGCAGTCTTACGACACTCAGAGTGGCATTGTGCCTTGGAAGGATATCGGCTTGTGGGTCTTGTTTTCTTGCATCAGCAGTTATGCCTGCTCGGGCGTTCTTGACGGCATTGCGCAGTTGGTCATTTCCAACTGCGCATATCGCCGCGTCACCTTGCTAGCTTACGGGCATGTGCTAGACTTGTCTATGGACTTCCACACCTCGAAGAACTCTGGCGAGGTCTTGAAGGCCATTGAACAGGCTACATCTCTAAGCCTGCTCATTCAGATGGTTCTCTTCGACATGGCGCCGATCTTACTGGATCTTGTTATAGCAATGTACTACGTCGCTCACCTGTTCGACGCATACATGGCTTTCATCATCCTCTTCATGGGCACAGCATATATCGCCACCGGCTTTCACTTCACGACCCTCGCTCAGCCCAAGCGAAGAGACTATGCTGAGAAGCAGCGTACTGAGAGCTCAACGGTCAACGAGACCGTTCACAACTGGCAGACGGTCGCTTACTTCAACCAATCAGAATTCGAACGCAAACGCTATGCAGACAACATCACTGCCACTATCTCCGCTCAGTACTCCTACTTCTTCTGGACCATGGGCGGTCAGGCAGCACAGGACGCTGTGGTTACTCTCGGGTTCGCAGGAGTCTGCATCTTCGGTATGTCGCAGATCGTGACTGGGCGCAGACCGGTTGGTAATCTCGTCACCTTGATCATGTACTGGTACGCGATAGTAAAGCCTCTCTATGTAATTTCGTACAGCCACCAGCGCATCTCTAGTGTGCTTATTGACGCCGAGCGGCTTCTTCAACTGCTCAATACCAAGCCTACGGTTGTCGACCGAGACGACGCTAGAGACATTGTGATTTCTGCTGGACAGGTCGTGTTCAGGGACGTCGAGTTCCACTACGACGAGCACACACCTGTCTCCAAGCGCCTCAACCTGAAGGCTGAGGGGGGACAAACGATCGCCTTCGTAGGCGAGACAGGAAGCGGTAAATCGACGATGCTAAAACTACTCCTCCGCTTCTACGATGTTACACGAGGTTCCATCGAGATCGACGGCCAGGATCTACGTTCAGTCACGCAAGCCAGTCTTCGCGATGCCGTGGGCCTTGTTCCCCAGGATCCTGTCCTTCTCAACCAGAGCATCCGTGACAACATCCGCTACGCCAAGCCCGACGCTTCCGACCGCGACATTGAAGATGCCTGCCGCGCCGCCGCCATCCACGACGACATCACCGGCCTTGCTGGCGGCTACAACTCGAAAGTTGGCGAACGCGGCGTTCGTCTCTCGGGTGGCCAACTCCAACGCATAGCTATTGCCCGCGTACTGCTCAAGAGTCCCAAGATTGTCATGCTCGACGAGGCCACATCCGCAATCGACTCCTCGACCGAAGCGCGCATCCAGCAAGCCTTCAGCCAGTTGAGCCAGGGCCGCACTACCTTCGTCATCGCGCATCGCCTGAGTACGATTGTAGACGCGGATCAGATTCTAGTGGTCGACAAGGGTGAGATCATCGAGAGGGGGACACATCAGGAGTTGCTGGAGAACCAGGGTAGCAAGTATGCGGAGCTTTGGTCGAAGCAGACTGCGGGGCTTGTGCCCAAAACGCCATCCAAGGAAGACGCCGACAAGGATGGAGAGATAGGGACAGTGGCGGAGACAGGCGGGAGCAAGGCATCGTAGGGTGAGAACAAGGGGACGGCGATGGCCCTTGCTCTGGAGCGGGACAGTCATAGTGAAGATACGAGCGCAACCACTGACACAGAACGAACTCTGTCCAACGTCCAGGAAAGTGAAAACATCGAGCGAACAAAATTGCGCGCTAGCAGACAAAGATAGCAGCCTTATGGAGTTTTTCGGATACGCCGACCGTGGAGACGGAGCTTTCGATAATACCTATAGAAACAAAGAGTCTCAACGAGAGCCATGGAAGTGAGAGAAAGGAGGGCAGGGATGCGATAACCTCGGATAGCACTAGTCGGATGTCAAGTCACAGTCCTCGTGCGTTGATCACATTTTGGTGACCTTCGAGATGGAGGACGGTGTCTAAGTTGTGGCCGAAGTGATGAGGTTCATGCACTGTCCTTGCGACATCGTCTTGGAGAGACATATACTAATCGCTCGAGATCTCCACGGCAGGTTTGGCGATGTATGCATGCTTGCCTTTGCGCTCAGCTACTGATATCACTGCTTCCCGTCGGCAAGATTACCAGAGCATCAGCGTCAGTAGATCCAAGATCGCGAGCAGCCCGGATTTGCGGACTTCGTACACTAGCATCGGCTAGCATACGCTCTCCCATTCGTGGAGAAACAATTCAGCGACACGCGTGTTCCACTCGCTTCTCTTGAGAGATTCCGTGATTCAGGCATTGTAGGGCGGTTATGGTGCGAAGACTGGACGTGATCTATACTTGGATAATCGAAAGCTGTACTGCACTACTACATCTGACTTGACCCTGAAGATGCTGTCAGCTGGTGTGGAGATCGTTGCTCCTCCCATCCTGATTGTATTGTCTGGTCACCGCGAAGCAGACAAGACGTCGCCGAACAGAAAACAGTGCATTATCGGTCATTGTGTCAGCTTCCTTGTAGTCTTTTGTTGCTTTCTCGTGCGAGGTGAGAAGTGACGTACTCGTTTGACCTACGACTGGCAACGTTCGTTGCAGCAAGGACGTCCCGCAAGGGTCGGGTGTTGTAGATTGCAAATGCACTGCACTGTGCGAATAGTCCTACCCAAACGTGTCTTCTGTGTGTGCAGAAAAGGCTTGATACTCCGGCTCGACAGGCGGGAGAAGGGGCCCACGGGCCACGCAAGGTCAGCAGGATACGCCAGTCGATGTCTCTCAAGCAGATCAAGCCGACTGCCATCAACCCAGCGCTACTTTCAGCGGTATCGTGGCTGCAAATATGCGCTATAGCACTTGGTAAGACGCAAGGATGCGCCTAGTCGCACCCTCGTTCTTGTCTCAGCTAGAGCGTACCACGCTCTGACTTCTTCTGGTCGTACAAGGATACGCACGATAGGAAGGCTCAACGCAGCCCCGCTAGGGCGATGCAAGAGCCGGTAGGCGGCATCTTCTCGGATCGAGCACCCGCCCTTGTGGGATGCTCGATATGACGAATGCCCAGAGGCCCCTAAG